CTTTGACTTATTCCATCTTAACCTCCTACTAATTGCTTACCAAATTCTGTAAGTTTTACCTTTTAAATACCTATGTAATATTTTAGGCCCATTTAACATAGATTTTGCTCCTGAATTAAAAAAGGGTTGAGCTGGGACAGTGGTGTACACCTGTAATCCCAATGACTTGAGAGGCTGAGGCAGGAGAATTGCAAGTTAGAGGCCAGCCTCAGCAACTTGACAAGACCCTGTTTCAAAATAAAAAGGGTTGGGGATGTAGCTCAGTGGTAAAGTGCCCAGTACTAACCCTTCTCAAGAAAATGTGGGGAATAAGGTTTTTGTATTTGCTTCTATTTTAAGACAGGGTTGTCATTTTAAGACATGTTGTCTAGGCTGACCTTGAACTCCTGGGTTCAAGCAATTTTCCCATTTCAGCCTCTCAAGTAACTGGGACTACAGGTGTATACCACTACACCTGACCCTTCACAGGCACTTAAAGGAAACAAACAGAAACTGTTTGTAGCATGCGTGGTACAGTCTTAACAGAGAAAACAGATGTTGAATAGAACACAGGGGTTAGCAAACTGTGGCCCATAACTACATTTTTAAGGGATTATAAAAAGTCAGACAATATATGATTCACAGAAAAAATTTGCTGATCTTTAGTACATTATTAAGAAAATAACAGAATCCATTCTTTATAATATAATCATTCTGCATTACTATAAGGGATCCTATGTATTCTGGCCATCAACACTCTTTCCAGTCTAATTATTTCTTGCTTGCTTGAACCTCAGTCACTTTGATCTCTTTTCAGGTCTTCAAATGCATCATTCTCTTTCTCACCTCCAAAGAGGTGGTTTGTGATTTTGCCTAAAATGTCATTCTTATCTTCACCTTGACCTTTGGATTCTTTATCTAATTGCTTCCCTGTTTATCCTTACCTATTGGGCTAGGGGAATCCTCTCTTCATACTCTGTGACTCACCTTTGTCATCTATAAAATTGGTCTAATAAAGGGATTAAATGATTTGTCATTATTCTCCTGGTCATATGTCCTGTGTTGATTCTAAGCTGATTTTTTCTTGGAAGTTAACTGTGAGAAGGCCCAGGTAGGGAGAGGAGGGAGAGAGGGGGCTGCATTTTGAAGGCCTGGGTGCTGTGTGAGATCACCCAGAGGACTCAAAAGTACTTTTTTGCTCTTGAAGAGATGATGTTATGAACTGTGATGATAAAACTTGTGCAAAAGTGAGAATCAGGCTCTTATTGATGGAAATGAGGAATGGGGGATTGGGACATAAAACTAAGAATTTAGGGGGGGACATAATCTAGATAATTGGAACTTGACTATTACTTTTTTACTCTAGAAGTGTTATCTAAATCTTTATTTTAAAAGTTAGCTGTGCAGTCCCAAAGTTGGATTGTTTATATGACTGGACTTGCATGTTCTATAACTCATCAGTTATGATTCAAAATTGTAATACGTAATTACAAACACACTGACTACTTAGAAATAAAATTAAATGCGTGAATAAACCATAATATTTGAGGTGGCAATTTGCAAGCTTAAACTATGGAAAAAATAGTAACTTAAATTTATATATTCAGTCTTGCCTATTTGCATGAACATGTTTTTTGTTTTGTTTTTTTTTTGCTTCTAATTACAGTGAAATCTATAGCTTTTTATAAAGGAATACGTGGGTTAGTGTTTATATAATATACTCAAGGTAGCATGTAAAGAAATGGACTGTGATTAACTAGCATGGATTGCTTTTTAACGTGCTTGTTTTGTGTTTGTCTTTTTCTTCTAATATAATAACCAGGGATTAATGATCAAGTTCCATCCCCAGATGAGAGGTAAAGTGCACTTGCTCTTCCATATTCCTTCAGAAAAGAAACCTAGCCAGATAAAACTAAAGCCAGTTTATCAATAACAAAACTGCTTCTCTAAGAGATTTTAGGTGAGCAGGGCAATTTGTAGTAGTAGCCAATTTATGAAAGCTAGTGGGCTTTGAGGCTTTTTTTTTTTACATTTATTAATTTTTTTTAATAAATTGGTTGGTCTTAGAAAAGTATATGGAAGGAAATAAACTTTAAGGATTTTTTTTAAATAAATTGGTTGATTATAGAAAAGTATATGGAAGGAAATAAACTTTAAGGATTGAGAATTAACATTATTTTGAGATATTATGTGTAGGTTAGTGAAGAGTGGTTCTCAAAATTTATGGTCAAAGAACACCTTAATGTCCGATTAACAGAAGACAGCTAGATTTTCATCTGGCTTTGTATTCATTTTGTTGTGATGTCATGCATCATGTAGCCTCTGAAAAATCATGATACACTCTATGAATAAAATGAGAATAAAACAAAAAATAACAGTAGTATGAAAATAGTTTTGCCCTTATAAAAAGTTTCCACAGACCAAAATTTGAGGACCACTGGAATAGTTTATAAACTCAGTTCTTTATGTTCCAATTAAAATGTTATCTCTTGACATCATTATTTTCCCAAAAAAATACTATATGGTTTTTACTTGTTTTTTACTTTTCTTTTTCAGATAAAGAAGGAAAATTCTGTGAGCTGATTTTATTTTTAGCTTACTGCTGTCTGTCAGAAGAAATGTGGTTCATTGTTTGAATTACTAAAGACAGCAAGATGTTTGTAAATTATCTTACAATAAACAACTTAAGAAAATCATTGTCCCTTGTCTCTTAAGGAAAAATGACTACATCTTTCAAAATGAGGCGTTAAAACATTTAAAAATATTAGTGTGATACTATGAAATTATTTTTTGGAAGAAATTTAAGAAGCTTTTCAAATTTTACCCGCCTTAAAAAGTCTAGTTTCTTTAGGGCCAGCTTTCTAGGGGTTGTACATCACACCTTCAACCCTGGCTGCCATTCTTTTTGAAAAAATTTCCTTTTGCAGTCTTTCAGCAAAATGCTACTGGAGGCATTTGGTTTTCCTCATACATGGGATACAGAATTCTAGGCATATACTCACTTCATTTATTTATTTCCAGTGCTGGGTGGGGATCAACCTAGGCCTTTTATATGCTAAGCAAGTGCTCTACCACTGAGCTACATCCCTGACCCAAAATAAATTTTCTAATAAAATCCTTTTGCAAACATTAGGAAAATATTTAAGTATGATCTTCACATTCATATAACCATCAGATTGGATGCCTGAATTGAGACTATGTGCCATGTTGGCTTTGTAGGGCACTTATTTTGTAATAAAAAAAAAATATGTGAATTCCAAAAGATATAAACTATATAAAAACATAAAACCCATTCTCAAATATTTAACAGTTGATGTATATAACTTTTAAAAGCCATTAAAAATGCAAGTGTATATATTTAGAAAGGATTCAAGCATTTTATTTTTCTATCAACTATATTCTTAACAATGAATTGAACATTGATTTTAAAAAAAATCACTTAGCAAGTGCAAACCTGTAAAGAAATCAGTACTGTACTGCTTCCAACAAAAAGGCTCCCAAGATCTTAAGACCTGTGCCTTAAAATGTCTATTCTTTTTGCACATTTAGAAGTATTTGCTTGGGTAAAGATTCTAGGTTTGAAATTGATTTCCTTCTGAATTTTTAAAGGGATTTGGCTTTTTCATCTTCCTGCCTCCATGTGACACTTCAAAAGTTTTAAAATCATTTGATATCTGAACTTTGGGATGCTTGTTTTTCTTCTCTGTTGTTGTTGGTTTTTGGTGCTGGAGAACAAACCCAGGGCTTAGATCATGTTAACTGAACACATGGTCTGCCATCAGGCTACACCCTCAATGCCCATCCAGTCCCAAAAACTTTTAGATATCTTTGTCCTCGTTATTGTGAAAGTTTAAAATGATCTTGGTAAGGAGTCCTTTTGTACACTGTATTGAATACTTTTGACTCAAATTATGTAAATTTTCAGTTACTAATTGTGCCTTGGATAAACCTCATTGGCTATGATACTGCTAGTACTATGCAAAGTACAAACTGTACATTTTAAAACAAACACTGCCAGTCTGCTCTCAAAATAACTGTAAAGTTGAATCAACAGTGCATAGGATAGGTTCCCCCTACTCTAAAACTGTGCTTTCTAATCTTAACAATCCGAGGAGTGAAAAGCTAGTAATAGCCCATTCATTCATTGCTTATTTTTGAAATTGAGTGTTTTTAATTGAAATACAAAATCTTTCCATCTTAGTAACATCAACTTTTTCAATTGTGTTGCAACTTTAAAGTAAGGAAATTTACATAATTGCTGTTCATATGAACATACCATCAATTTTTTGTTTTACTCTGCTTTTAAACACCACCTAATTAACTATGTATAAAGGAAAGCAATACCCATCGGAAATGGCACTTTTATTAGAAATTCTGCATTTCTCTTAACTAGACCCAACATACGATCATGAGGAAAAAAACTGAATATGGCTTCAATATGCTTTGCCAACTATACACAAGAAGATAGTTTTTTCTGCATATAGTAGTAGTGGTGAGGAACATAACTTGTGCCCTACTAAGCTGTCTACAGTTACTTGGATTCCATTACCCTTAAAGAAAGCAGCTCTCTATTTCACTGCAATAACTCTTGCAGTAGGTTCCTGTTTCCTGGCCTTCCTTCACACTTACTGCTTCTAATTTTTTTATTTGAAAATAACAGTTTCATTGAGATATAATTCATCTTGCATAAACTTTGCCCTTCTAAAGTGTACAGTTCAGTGTTATTATCTTTAGAGTTGTGTTCTACTCCATTTTATACATTACTGCAAGATGAATTATTCTAAAAAGCTTTTATTTATTTGAATACTGACTACCTGCTAGGTACTGTGCTATATACTGGGTACTTAACAGTGAATGAGATGAACACAGCTCCCACTTTCTGAAGAACACAGAGAAAGAACAATGAGTTTACTTTGGGTATCCACCAAACATTAATTATATTAAGGTATATACAGGAAATCCAGGCAGACATTGGTCATTAGATGCAGTCAGCCACACCAGTATGGCACTCAGGAAAAATGTGAGATATAGTGTTATATTAAGGTGTCAGCTTTATAAAGCCAATGATTAAAACCATTGGGGTGAGTCATGAAAAGAAAACAAAGACTAACAAGTAGGCAGAGGCATTATAGGATAAAGGAACCTTTAGATATTCCTGAAGCCAGAGTTCTCCCTTTGAGTGAAGGAAGATATAAAGCTGATACGGAAGGAGGAAAGGAACTTGCTGTTTTAGATTTCAATTAGTTATATCAATATGCACTTAGGACACTAAATACAACATATGTTCCATCCTTCAAGGTCCCCAAAGCAAAAATGCCACTGTGCTAATGGAGGTCTGTTAGCACTCACATCTTTGTTCTAGATACTATTCCTCACTAGAAAGAACAGGCCCCCTTAAAGAGATGAGGCCCTTCCAAGGAAAGCACAAAGGGGGCCTAGAAATCAAGTAAGGAAATGCCCAATGAATGATAGTGCCACGGTACAAGAATATGGCTGTGGTGCTGGGTGTGGTGATGCATACTGTTAATCCCAGGGACTCAGGATGCTGAGACTAGAGGACTGCAGTTTGAGGCTAGCCTCAGCCACTTAAATTTGAGACCCTGTCTCAAAATAAATAAATGAAAAGAAGTGGGGATGTAGTTAAGTTTTACAGTGCCCCTGTGTTCAATTTCTGGTATGGAATAAAACACAAAAACCAATACCATGGCTTGTATAGGCTCCTACTGGTCAAATAGAGGATGATTTAATCATCAAAATAAAGAAATGTGATAGATTAGAACACATTCATATTGAATTTAAAAAAAAAAAGAATTTCTGACCACATAGTGATATTAGAAAAGGTGGAAGAACTTTTCTTTATAGAAGACTGCCTGGTAATAAATGGAGAAGAAATTATCAACACTTAGAAAAATCAACACTTCGCAAAAGAGATCAGAAAGGTGCCATAAAAAAGGTGTTAAAAGTCATAAAGAAGGAGGTTTTGGGTCTTCTTTTCTGGTACTGGGGACTGAACCCAGGGGTCCTTAACTACTGAGCCAAATCCCAGTCCTTTTTTAATTTTTGAGACAGGGTTTCACTAAATTGCTTAGGGACTTGCTAAGTTGCTAAGGCTGGCTTTGAATTTGTGATCCTCCTGCCTCAGCTTCCCAAGTGGGTGGAATTACAACTGTGAGGCACCATGCCCAGCAGAAGCAGATTTTTCAGTCTGAAAGTTATCACTTTATAGATTAATTTCAAAGTAAGAAAAGGGGTGTCTACAATGGTGAGATTTGGCAGGCAAAAATTACAAGTGATCGAATTTTGTTACTAATAATGGGACAATGTGACTTCCCTGATGTGGAACAGCCCACTTTCAATGCCTAGTCAATGTAAGTGGCTAACATCCAGGTCCCTTTACCTGACTCAGGACAACTTCAAAGTGCCATTTTAACTCTATCGCTCTCTGTGGGATTGGTTTGAGTGTGGGCTATGCATAGCCCATGGTCTCCCTACCCGCCCAAATCTTGCTTCTTCCTTTCTGTTCTCATTCTTACATCCCAGTCCTCATTCTTCTTTCCTTTCCTCCCATCCTACATCCTGCCCTCCTCCCTCCCTTTCCGTTTCCTAAGTGGTGACTCCAAAGGTGTCTCTGCAGGTTAATCTACATCTCAAAGACTGCCTCCAGGGCTGTCCAACTTGGGACAATTTGTACTTGGGGGGCCTAAGAGATCAAGTATTAAGATGGGATTTTGAAGCTGGCTCACCCACCTGGCTGGCTCTAAAGATTTCAGCACTGGTGAGGGATGGAGCACAGATACCCCTTGCATAACAGCAGTTCCCAAACGAACTTTCACCAGTGATGAACTCGTATCATTTAACAATGAAACTAGCTGGTAATGATGTTTCAGTGCACTAGATATTCTAGAAATGTGGGAATCACAAGATCCTAAAGTTCTGCTGGGTGTGGTGGCACACACCTGTAATCCCAGTGGCTCTGGAGGCTGAGACAGGAGGATCTTGAGTTCAAAGCCAGCCTCAGCAATGGCAAGGCACTAAGCAACTCAGTGAGACCCTGTCTGTAAAACAAAATACAAGATAGGCCTGAAAATATGGCTCAGTAATTGCCCCTGAGTTCAATCCCTGGTACCCTCCAAGCCTGCCCTTCAAAAAAATGATCTTAAAATTCTAAAGATCAGGTCACAGAGCTGAATTGCTTACTGGTTAAGTCAGGTGAATGCAATTATCATGATATTAAAAATAGGAGGTAGGGGCTGGGGTTGTGGCTCAGTGGTAGAGTGCTGACCTTGTATGTTCGAGGCCCGGGTTCGATCCCCCTTCCAAAAAAAACCCCCCAAATATATATATATATATATATATACACACACACACACACACACACACACACACATATATATATATATACACATATATACAAATGTATGTAATGAATATATGAGCTGGGCTTGCCCAAGGAGTTATAGAGATGGTTAATGGACAAAGAATCCCCAGGTGAAATAGACAGCAAATAGTAGGCTACTTGATCTGCATAATCAAAATAATTTAAGAATGGATAATCAGGTAGTTCACAGCAGTCACACCAACAGCCATGACCCTTATATTGTTTCAAGATCCAAGTCACTTTTCATCCTGAAACTCTATGACCAAAGGAGAGGATCTTCAGGGGGAAGGACACTGCAACACCAAATGGATAAGGTAA